CCGGTTGACACTCTTCAACACGCGTCTCTTGAGGCAGAATGTTTGAGGAAGGCTAATGAAAGAGAGGAGGAAAACGAGGATCATGACGATCCTCCTATTACAGAGGTTGAGACAGAACCCCCTTAGATACCCGGAATTCCTACCTGCCAAATTTATACATATTTTAATGTGTTCTGTTGGTATAAAACTACAAAACTTTGTTTTTCTATGTTACAATAATATGCCAACAATATATGGTTTTGTACATTTTTGCAAGTAAGTTTTTCATTCCTTTTCAAAAATATTTTAGTGCAATGATTACATGATATGTAATTCCATTCTTTTCTTGAACTAATTTCATAATTTTTTCTTCAATGGTAAATTTTTTTCCTAACAATCAAAATTGCACAATAAGTTTAGGTTGTGTATAATTACTAATTTATTAATTTTTAAAAATAATTGAAATGTTTTTTTTTACCTCAAACAAATCTTTGGAAACGAAATCTATAATTTATGTAATTTTGACAATGTCATCATTTACTTTTCTTAAATTCGTTTCGCCCTTCACTTGTATTTTAGGTGTTCTGTATTGACCACAATTTACTTAAATTTATACTAAAATGATATATATTTTAATTAAAATTACTTTTTGGAAAAGAATAAATAGTACTTAATAGACATCTTGATATATTTTGGAAGAAACGTTGTGTTTAAGTAAAGGTAACATATAATTCTTATTGTTAATTTTTAATTTTTTATTGTTAAAATTTTTACTAATTTATTAATATGAAATATGTTTTTTTATATAAACCTTAATATGTCTTGGGATTCACATTTGTTATTATTAGAGTAACACCATATGTTTCACTATTTTTTCATCTATTTTTATACATATCTACCGTATTATCACATATAGTAATACACACTTTGCTTCCCCTGTTATATAGTTATTATTGTAATAATTTACTTATTTAAAAAAAATGTGACTATAATTTGTTTTTAAAATAGATGTGCAAATTTTAATATACATTTTAATTTTCTGTGCAATACCAAACATTTATATCAAATATTGTATAATTTGGATGTGGTAATTGATTGTTTACTAAATCTAACAAAATTATGGTTACTAACACTTTTAATTGTAGATTAAGGTTTATTCTTCTTTGTCCAGTATCTGGTACTGTATCATATGTATTTTATCTTTTCTTCAACAATTACATAAACAACATCTGCATATATGAATTTATATATAAGCATACAATTTATATGTTTATAACTTTGGGTATGTGTATTATACCATTACCATCATAAGATAAATTTTTGTCTGAAATTTTCATAAGTTGATCATAATCATGGAATCTGATTTTTTTGCAATTTATTTTATGAATTTGCATTCAACCATATATTAAAAGAATGGTCTGAAATTTTATATCCCACCTATCTTTCCTACTTCAAAATCATTTAAGATATATATTTTGCCTTCTAAAAGTTTCAGGGATAATTCATGAATGTGACAAGCATAGATTGATCTCATAATGGTTGAATCCTATATTTCATTAAATTCCAAAATTCTTTGACGGTTTCATATTTTATGTTGAACTAAAATATCTCTTTCATCCATGGTGGTAAAAAAATACCAACTATTAAGTCAGTTATTTCATTAGCCGATGGCAATTCATATTGTCTTTTCCTTTTATCATATCCTATCATATAAATTTTTATTTCCGCATTATATATATATATATATATATATATATAATAGTTACTAATCTCCCATTTATTCATATGTTTTGTTATTTAATAAGTTCAAAATTGTTTGTAACCCTGAAATTATCAGTATCTATGGATAAAATTTTACATTGTGTTCATGTTCTTTTAGCTGCTTCGTATGATGTTGTTGGGAGATGTTAAAATTAGATGGTCGATATGGGTTTCTAGCAAACATAGATTGAGTTATTGTGTTTTGTAGCTGTTAGACATTCTTTCTTTTTATTGTTCATTAGTATATATAGTTGTTTCTACTAAATAGTAAATTAGTCATTTGTTCTACGGGAGATTGCATTATGCATTAAGGTACTACTAGATCTCAACCCGCACAACCGTGCGGGTTTTCTTTTTATTTATAATTTATAAAAAAATTATTAATAAATAATAATATATTTACTTATAAAATCGTGCAAAATACTAAAATAATAGATGTTAAAGTATCATTTTTAAACACAACAAAACAATATAAATTATCACTAACAAATATTTATCTATAGTGTATCTAAATA